TTGGTGAACAAACTAATATTTTAGGATTTCTAGGATTTGTCTCTTTTTGGTGAACAAACTAATATTTTAGGATTGGTTATATGAATAAGGCTACCTGTTTTTTGTGTTCTTTTCATTCATTTTCATTCAAACAATCCGATGACTTGTATAATGAAATCCGAATCTTAAGCCGAAACATTTAACAAAAGAGTTTTTAAAAATTGAAAAGTCAAGGCAATCAGTTCAGATTAATTAAAAGTCAAAGAATATCCGCTCCTTGAAATAAAGACGTGTGCTATCATTAACCAAATATCCGGTTATTGATATAGAGTGGTTACCAAAAAATATAACGCGATAAGGACACTTTCTGGAAATATCAATGGGATAAGGTCATAACATATCGCTATACATTTTAACGATAAAAGCTCAGATGGAATAATTTATGATAATTATGTTGTAATTAATGAATTAATTAAATGTGTGAAAAGAACATAATTAATGAGAAGTGTGAAAAGGACATAATTAATTAGAAGTGTGAAAATGATATAATTAATGAGAAGTGTGAAAAGGACATAAAAGTTACCGATTTTGAAAAGTAATTAATGCAAAACTTACTTTGACCATTAATTAAATTACTAATTTTGATAAATATTAATCCCCTCTATATATAATTTCAGAATCCGCTGAGTCTACGTGGCAAATTCTCATGCTTCAGAATCCTATTTGGCTAAAAATCATGCTTTGGAGTTAGGCTTTGATAAAAATTAAAATTTATATTAATTGTATTTTAATATCGTTTCCTATTATAACCATTGATTTGAAAATATATTTTAAAAGTTGATAACTTTTGTAATTCTTATCACTTTTACATATATAATATATCAAATTAATCATCTTTTGATGACTTTCGATTTGACATCTATATTGTATATATAAAATAAATAAATTATATCTGCTTGTATTTTGCTATTTATTTATATATATATAATACAAAACAGTAATATATATCCTTATAAATAAAATTTAAATTTATTTATCAAACTAAATTAAATTATATCAAATAAAACTATAAATTGTATTATAAAGTTATAGAAATTGGTATGTATTCTTTTAAAAATGATATTTATTTCAAATCTAATTGGTATGTTGTCAATGTAATAAAAATAAATAATTATTTATATAAATTCTAAAATTACATATAAAGTTAAAAAACTGTGAAGCACGACTGATACGACTGTTGATGTATTAAACATTTAATTAAGTAAAAAAATTAATTTTATTATTTTAATGTTAAATAAATATATTCTACACTTATGCATATACCTACATATCACTATATTATTTCTATTTATTTAAGATATATATTTTTGTACTTATGTAAAAGTAAATAATTTCGATATTTTTATATGATATAAGTAAAAAATTCAACATGGGTTGACATTTTCAATTAATGTACGGGTGTTTAATTATTATGATTAAAAAATACAATTTGACAATTTAATTAAAACTCAAAGTAATGTTTTATGTAAAATTAAATTATTTTAGTTTTTAAAAAAGGTAAAAAAAATTACAAAAGCTTCCTTATTCAACACCCGTGTAATACACGGGTATTGTACTAGTTCTTATTATATAAGTATAGATTTGAGAAATAAGATCTAACAAAATATGATAGCTTCGAAAGTCTCAAAAAGACAATGGGAATTGAGAGATTTGATTATTGACATCAATCTTAAAAAAATCAAGGGAAAAAGAGAAGTGATTAAAGAGACATAATGATCAGAGGTCGGTTTAACCAAAAGAAGAAAGGTATGATTAAGATATATCATTAGACAAGTTTAAGACAAATAACCTTCGTTTAATTATCAACCGCTTTATGCTAAAGCAGTGTGCATTGAACCATATAAGTTTAGCTGTTATGCACTCTTACCAATCATAATCAGTATGTAGGCCCACTTCTCATTTTATTTTGTTTTCGTTTTTATCTTTATCTAATATTTTTTTTAATTTTTCAATTAATGACCAAATTTCGAAGCTCAAACCAATGCTAAAAAGAAAATAAAGATATCGAAAGGATGTTATGAGATAATCTAATCACTAAATAGATCGATATGTCACATATATTATTAAATGAAAAAAAAAATATAGATATGGTATATCATTACTCTATTTTTTAACATTAAAATTATATTGTGTATCAGTCTATGACATTTCATTATTAAAATATGCATGTTGAAGAAATATATTTTTCTAATGATTAAATTTGTGAAATAGCAACTCAACCAAAGAGATATACCTATTGTATATTGTAATTCTTAATAAATTAAACTCAAACTCGTTTTCATAACCTTTAATCAAAACTGTTGAACAAAAAGAGTCATTTGTAAGCTTGACTCTGCTTGATTCAGCTCAAACGAGCTAAGCTCGAATTCGCTTAATTAACGAATCAAGTGAATGTCTGAATCGTTAAATAAAGTTTGAAAATAGTTATTCTTATATAATATTCTATATAGTCTCGTTAATTTTGGTAAATAAACAGCATTCCAACTCGTGTAACGATTCATTCAGTTAACAGCGGCTCGATATTCGAGTGTCATGAGCTCGAACTCGTATTAGCTTTTTTACACCCCTACCTTCAATACAACATTCATTTTCATTGTTGTTTTGTATATCCACACAACAAATGCTATAAATTCCTAATCAAAACTAATGGAGCAGTAAATTTGGATTTTGATCATGAACCAATATAGTTTTTGATTGATTTTTCTAGTAAATCATAATTGTCTCCAGGAATTTCTTTGGCCCTCGATCCCTTGATGTAAATTACAAATGCTGGCAATGAATTTACACCTTCAGATTTTGCTAGTAAAGGGTGGTCTTCCACATCCACCTACATTTTCTCAAAAATGAAAATGTAATTAGGGATAATTTATGTAACGAATAAGTTAAAAATTAAATAAAAAAAAAAAATAAGAAGAAGAAATTTGTGATGTTTGTGATATACTTAGCTAATATATTCTTATTGCATAGAATATTGTAATGTACCTTAAGGAAGTTGACTGAAGGGTATCTCTGATTGAAGTGCTCTATGAGCCCAATCACTGCCTTTTCCACTTCCTTCTTACAGAATAACACCATATATGTTCCTACATTAGGATTGAAACAAAAATTAAATTATGTGATATTTGAAAAAACAACTTGAACAAAGTACAACATTTGATAGTAAAATATGCATTTTGTTCACAAAGTCCAACGAGTCAACTTGTCTAACGGTTAAACAGTTTTACACATGAATTAGTATTATTACGCAGTTTTATTCACAAAATATGACAGGTCAATTTGTCTAACGGTTAGACTGACCTAACAAGAATGAGTGTATAAGCAAAAATAATTTACCAGGAGATTTGACATAATCTCTAAAATGCTCTTGACTTGTAACTGAAACCATGCCACCCATTTCTTGTCTTAATCCTCCATTCATTTTCTCCAACTCTTTTTTGGCCTCCTTCAGAATATTACCAATCTCTTCATCATCTGGATTTTCCCTCATCAACACTTCACAATCTTTCACACACTCTCCCCATTGTCCCATCTACCAAATTTAAACAAATCAATCAATACTAAAACAACAAACAATTATCCTAATCATAATCATAATCACACTCATAATCAAGCATGAAGTATTTACAATTTCCATGAACTTATAAAGAATCAAATCAATCACCTTTGCGTAACAATCGGCTCGTCTCAACCGGGCTTTTCTGTAGCCCGAACGCGCGTTCAGAGCCGCACTACAGTCCTCGACAGCTTTTTCATACTGGCCAAGTTTTGAACAGCACGCGGCTCGGTTGAACAGTAAAACCGCGTTATACGGGTCCAAACCGAGCCCTTCGCCGTATGCAATGATGGCCTCCGAATACCTCGCCGCCTTAAACAGCTCGTTGCCACCGGTCCTGGCGGCAGCTGCCGCCTTCATCCTCCGAACCACCGCATGCGCCTCCTTGTTGTTCGGGTCGAGCCTCGAAGCCCGTTGAGCGGACCCCACAGCATCGTCGAACCTAGTTTTTTTTTTTGTTGGGAAAATGAATAAATAAGTAAATATTGATTAAAAGACTCAAACAAAATTTATTTTACCACAGTATATTGTTATTTAATATTTATATTACCAACTTTGATAGTGAAAAATCAATTTCGAGACTGTCGAAAAAACGACTGAAAGGGCGTGTATATACTGTACACCGAAATATTCAAACACGCAAAAAATTCTTAAATAATGTTTAAAAATGCTCAAACAGAATTTCCTTTGACATATTACACCATTGTTTAATGTATTTTACATATTTTGATGGTAAACAATTAATTTCAAGACGGGAAAATCACGATTTTTAAAGGTATATATATAAGAGGGTTCTAAGTTCTAACCTCCCTGCAGCCAAGTCGACCTGAGCTCGAAATAACAATAGACTCGAGCTCCCGACCGGCCCGAAAAACCTTATGCAATCATCGATTTCAAAATTTGGGCCCTTTTCCATAGACTCGATTGCTTCTTCTTGCCTGTTAAGCCTCAGCAATGCCTCGGCTCTCAAGCCAAATATCTTGAACCGAACGACAAAAAACAAAATGAACTTATTGAAAAAAAAACACACACACACAAAACAATATAACTCGACAAATGTAATGAGAATTACGCGATGATACGTACCAACGGTGCTGAATCAGCACCGGCCGCTATACAAATCTCGGTTTCTTCATACAAATTGCTCCAGTCATGCCGCCTTTTTGCCTCAGTACACTTGTTCAAATGTGATTGAATTTGCTCTGCCTTTCTCATGCAATCTGGATCGGCCTCCGATCCAGATTGCTTGAAATGGTGCACGGCCCTCTCGACCTCTCCTAATCTATTCAAACGAACCAAA